AGTGGAATCAAAACAAGCGATACTTTGAGAGCTCCAGGAAAGTCGTATTGCCTGGAGAGTAAACATTTTTTTCTCAAGGAGAACTAGAAAGGAGCCAGAATTCTTTAAAGGAAGGTCCGATGAAGGAGAGTAACTGACCCAGGCCGCAGTTGGCCTGGACAGGGCTCAGCGAGCTTGATGCCTGCCAGGCATTCAGCTCTGCTTGGGGGTGGGGGAGGCGGGGGGAGTCGCTCCTCTGTGCACTTACCAGGTGCTCACCCCTGAACCTGCCTGCATAATCCCTGCAACAATCTCATGAATTAGGCCTCGTTTTCTGCTCTAATGGAATCCTTGCTCACTTAGGAAACCTCATGGTATAAAAATAGCACTGTCGGCGGAGGAAGTGATTTAGTTAACAGAGTCAGAATAACAATGTGGTGGGGTTTTCTTTTCCTGCCTAAATTTAGGCAACATTTACTTTAAAATTAAATAGCTCTAATTATGGTTGTGGTACTCGGTCTAGCTCTGAATTGACATCAGAGCCAATGCAATTCACATTCTCTCACCGGGACAGACCCAGAGGAGCTTTCCAAGCCTGCAGTGCGGTGCTCCCTTCAGCAGCAGCGGGCTGAGCCTGGGGCGGTGCAGAGAAGATGGCACAGCTCCTGCACGAGCCTGACGTGCACATTCGTTGCGTTCCCTATTTTTATTTTTAAAAATATATATATTTTATTGATTTTTTACGGAGAGGAAGAGGGATAGAGACTTAGAAACATCGGTGAGACAGACATTGATCAGCTGCCTCTTGCACACCCGGGGATGTGCCCGCAACATACTGGGGATGTGCCCGCAACCAAGATACATGCCCTTGACCGGAATCGAACCTGGGACCCCCTCAGTCCGCAGGCCGACGTCCTATCCACTGAGCCAAACCGGTTTCGGCTACGTTCCCTATTTTTAGTAAGAAGCACAGATTGAAGGAGGGTCTGGGGGAGACAATAAATCAACCCAAGGACTTGTATACATGCATATAAGTACAACCAATGGACATAAAACTCTGGGGAGGGAGGGGATACGTGGGAGGGAAGGAGGGAGGCAAAAAAAAAAAAATCAATAAAATATGTAAAATAAATAAATAAATTAATTAAAAAAGAAAAAGAATATAAAGATATAAAAAAAATAAAGTAGAAGTTCTAAACTTAAAAAAAAAAAAAAAAAAAAGAAGCACAGATTGGTAGTTACCACGTAGTCACCGGGAAGTAAGCACATCCTAGGAAATACAGTCAATAATACTGAGATAACTCTATATAGTGCCGGTTGGGCTCCTGGAAATACCTAGGGGAACGCCATGCCAAGGACATGGTCATCTCACGGTGATGCTATGCACCTGAAACCAACCCAAAATACAGGTGGAAGAGCAATAAACTTACCGTGTAGGAGAAACGGCTCGTTTCAGGTGAGGAAAGTGGTCCACAGGGGAAGTGACTGGCCCAAGGTCACAGGGCTTGTCAGCGACACGAAGCAAGGTCTCCGGGCGATGAACGCAGAACCCGGAGCCCGCAGAACTCGGAGCCCGCAGGTGCGCGCTTACCACCGAGTCCGGTGCTGCCGCCACGTGGGAGGCTGAGCTTCCCTTCGAGTCGGCTCCACAGCTGAAACCGGTTTGGCTCAGTGGGTAGAGAGGTCCCAGGTTCGATTCCGGTCAAGGGCATGTTCCTTGGTTGTGGGCACATCCCCATTAGGGGGCGTGCAAGAGGCAGCTGATTGATGTTTCTCTCTCATTGATGTTTCTAATGCTCTATCCCTCTCCCTTCCTCTTGGTAAAAAAAAAAAAAAAAAAAAAAAAAAAAATCAATAAAATATATTTTAAAAAAAAAAAAAAAGGAGGCTCCACAGGAGCTCCCAATCTCTCCTCCTCCGCCGAGGATGCACCCAAACCACCGCCTCACATGGGACCGTTTCTCCTAAAAATACACCCCCCTAGGATCTAGTAAAATACTCCATCAGTTCAGGCAAAGGAGAACCAACCACTTCGACGGGCTGACATAACCTCACCTACATCCCGCTCACCACCTGGAGGGAACTCACCACCCAGAGCTTCTCCGAGGAGCGATGGATACCCTACATCCGCACCCGGGCCCCAGACATCTCACTGAGAACCATCCTGGCTGGTGCCCCAAAGACCCGGGCCCGGGGTGAACTGAGCAAGGCCTGGCCACACCCACTCAGCCCGGGAGAGCGCGCCCTCAGGTGCAAGAGCTCACCGGCCGTGGAAGCCGAGGAGGAGGGCAGAGCCTGATGGGAGCTAGCCCGACCGAAGCTGGTGGGTGCCATCCTTGTGCTCCCTCAGCCTTGCGAAAGCCGAAAGCCGTCTTTCTGCTCCGGTGCCCTCTCCCTACTCTGCCTTGCAGAGGCTAGCAGGCATTTTTGCACACCCCCTCTGCCCTCGCCACTTCCGTGCCCTCCCTCCGCTGCCCTCCAGGGCCAGTGTCTCTCAGAGGGGAGCTTCTAGGCGTGGCCGGTGCCCTGGTGTTTGCATCCGGTGGCCCAGTTTTTGTGGTTGCTGCCCAGGGGACACCACAGGGGAGTCCAGAGGGGCTTGTGTTCCTCCATCCCATGGAGCTGTACCATCAGAGACAGTTCTGGGCAGGCCAGCACCCCCTGGGCACTGCACAGACAGCAGTGCCACCCTGCCCCATCTTTCTGTGAAAGAGGCAGATTTGCAGGTCTGGGAGCTTTGGCCGCACGTGGAGGGATCCATGGAGCTGCTCTGAGAGCAGAGGCTGGAGCATCCTGCGTCGGTCCCCCCCCCCCCCCCCCCCACGGAGGTTTAGGTTGTAAATAATGCTGCAGTAAACACACAGGGGTACAGGTATCTTTTTGCCTGTTTTTTAAAAAATATATATATTTTATTGATTTTTTTACAGAGAGAAAGGGAGATAGGGAGCCAGAAACGTCAATGAGAGAGAAACATCGACCAGCTGCCTCCTGCACACTCCCCACCAGGGATGTGCCTGCAACCAGCGTACATGCCCATAACTGGAATCGAACCTGGGACCTTTCAGTCCGCAGACCGACGCTCTACCACTGAGCCAACCCGGCTTCGGCTGCCTGTTTTCTTTTTTAATATATATTTTTTTATTTCTAGTGATTTCTTTTAATCTGATAAATCCCCAGAAGTGGAATTGCTGGCTCATATAATAGTTCTATTTTTAATTTTCTGAGGAGCCTCCATACTGTTTTCCATTTTTGTAACTATGCATGGTGGTGGATTTCAACTAGACTTAATGCAGTGTATACAAATAGCAAGTCATTATGTTGCACACCTGAAACTAATATATATACTTCAAAAAGGGAGGCTCATCCTCACAAGCAGGCTCCAGGGCAATGAAGAGGCTCTGCCCGAGGGCAGTGGCAGCAGATACCTGGTCAGGTGGGTTTCCTTTGTCGCAGGAGGGACTTCTCCTTCCTCTGTGGGGCATTCCACACATCTGCCATTTCTGTCACTGCAGTCCCAAGGGAGCTGCACCTGAAGAGACTGTGGCTTCTGACGCAGCCAAAGTGGGCCGTGTGACTGGGGAAGAGCACTGCTGTTCTAATCTGAGGGCTCACCTGGAGCAGGCAGTGAATTACCAATCAGCACCAGGTTAAATCCCTACATAACTAGCTCTCCAGGGACACCTACCGGTGAACTTTGGTTTAGGTACTGCATGTAGTCAAGAGTTATCAGTTGGGAAATGCTTTTTAACTGAGATGACTTGTGTCCTTCGGGGATTAACTAACCTCAGTTATGTGACATTGGAAAAAGCAGGCGATTTGAACCTCGCCTTGAAGAGCTGCATGAACTTCTGAATCTCAGGCTCTTCACATTTGAAAGCCTCACCTCCTTTGGTTATTCTGGTTCCTGCCCCAGCCTGTAATGCCCGCCCTTAATTCTTCACCTGGCAGATGTCCATCAGGAAACTTGGCCTAGACTCCATTCTCCCTTTGCTCCCACAACCTGTCCAACATTACCCCATTTTTCATACCACAGGGACAATGAACTTTCATCATTAAATTTTTCAGGACAGAAATGACTTAAAAAAAAAATCTCTCCATTCTCAAAACCTAATACTTGTTGAATATATTATAGTTTTTACAAACTGTATTGCACTAAATAAAAATTCTGCTCTTAGATCGTTAATGAATAACTTACTGAAAGTAAAACTCATACTAGTACCTTAGTTTCCTTGCAACTTAAAAAAAACACACCTCCACAAATCTATAAAAAATTACAAAAGTTTGAATAAACATTTGACTTAGTTCAGGTTCTTCTAAATACTTTGTCTAGTCTATTTATGCTAAACTTTCACATATAAAAAAGACACAAAGTTACCCATAAAAGTTTGTAAAGAATTTTATTATGCAGCTTAGGTAGCTCTGTATTCTACTAACAAAAAAGCATTTTCCACATCTTACTCAACTTAACGCATTATATATAGGTTTGTGATTTTTATCTACATCACTACAGTATTACACTTCTGAAGAAAACCTTCCTTTCATTTGTACTCTGGTACAATTATACAGTAGGCACCTCTTCCCCCAGAAAATAAAAATATTCTTAATCTAAGATAAAAACAGAACAAAGACATTAATGCCAAGTTTCTCGCACCACTTGGTAAAAGATTGCAATAAAAGTCAAAACTGGATGCTGCTTAACACAAAGAGCATGTGACTGCCAGTTTCAGTCAAACCTTGGTGGAATGGTGTAGCATCGGGTTTACTTTACTGCAGTTTTCACATATGATAGGTGGGACTGTACCACAATGAAGAATAGTCACATTCTTCACTTGCACAAGAGATTCAAATATTGGACTCTCAACACAGGAAATGTTGCCTGGGGCTTAGCAATATACAAACAGATAAAAAATATTGCCTTAGGAAAAATTTCACAACTGTTTGACTAAACATTTGAAACACTTTTATCACAGCTTCATATATTAAAAAGTTTCCTCCAGAGATGCTTATTTATGAAATAAAACCTAGTCGCTATCATCTGACCCATGTTCTGAGCCCCGATCCGAGGCCTCGTTGTTGGATCCCTCTGGTTCTGACTCGTTTCCGGAACCTCGGCCAGAACCCTCGTTATCAGATCCTCTCTCCGAATCTCGCTCTGACTCGGCACTCGGGGAAGCCGGACGAGAGTCCCCCTCCGATCCGGCCGAGGGGCTCCTCCCAGACTGCAGAGACTCATTGTCTGACTGTTCGGACCCCGAGGGCCTCCTCTTCCTGGGCGGCTGGTCGCTGTCTGAGTCCTCATCGGACCGCTGTCTTCGGGGCCCGCGGGGACTGCCTGCCTCACTGCCAGACCGGTTCTGGTTGTCATCCGAATCGCTCTCGGAGGAGGCTCGGTCCTTCCGCGGCTCACCCTCGTCTGAGTCGCTGTTGCTGTTGCGGGGATGTCTGGCAAAGAGACAAACACTGTCAGACACCAGGATTCTGGCCAACCAAGAGCTTGACAAGTAGAGAACATGCTTTCAGCAAAAGAGGGCATTTAATGTTCTATTTCTTGACTTGAAAGGTGTTTATACAGATGTTCATTTGGGATGTTTTGGGTACTTTTTTTTTTTTTTTTTTTAAGATATTTTATTGATTTTGTACAGAGAGGAAGGGAGAGAGATAGAGAGTCAGAAACATTGATGAGAGAGAGTCATCGATCAGCTGCCTCTTGCACACCCCCTACTGGGGATATGCCCGCAACCAGGGTACATGCCCTTGACCGGAATCGAACCCGGGACCTTTCAGTTCCCAAGCCGAAGCTCTATCCATTGAGCCAAACCGGTCCTGGCTTGGGTACTTTTTAATAAATGTGACATATTTCACAATAAAAAAAAATTAAAAAGGAAAAAATAATCAGGCACTTTAGCTATAAGCAATATAAACAGAGAAGGGTGGTCCTTACTGGCTTTATTAGGCACCTTTCATTAGAACAGAGCATTAAATTTCATATATAAAATTATGAAAAAGGGTTATTTTTATAAGCACATTCATAGGAGGCCAGGGTAAGCCCAGGCTCTCACTTGGCTGTAAAAACCGGAGGTGAACCCTGGCTGAGGCTGGATGCCTGGGACACTTCCTGTCCTGCCACCACCAGCTGTCAGTGCTGAGCAGCCAGCTTTTCTCCTGGATCTGCTACTGCACTGGTGCCCTCCAGTCAGACACCTACTCAAGCTGGGAAGCTGGGCTCGGGGGATTCTGCAGCTTGCTTATTACCAGCTGTGAGGTAGAACAAGGGTGTTTGTGCCTCTGCTTGGAGTGGTGGTGGCACCAGGGAATCTGCTTCCTGAAGGCTCTGGAGGGAAGAATATCCCTTTAACCATCACCCCCCAGAGCCTGGAGAGAAGACATAGTTCTCTGCATATTCCTCAGTTCTGATTCCCACTGCAGATATCCCAGAAAGGAATACTGAATCCTACAGGGTTCAGTCTAAGAGAGGTGAGGGAGGTGAACATATTACATTCTTCTGAAACCTACATGCACACACATCACGTAACTCAGGTCACTCTGACAGAATATGAAGAGTGACCAAGAGGACACTAAAAACTCATTCTGTATAGACACCAAAGGCCAGTGGGCACCTGGGATCCAATTCACTCCTTTCCCTCTGGCCAAATAAGCAAGCACGTGGTTAGGACAAAGTCTAACTGATGCAAGTGGCTCCAATCAACTTGGCCTTGGCCTCAGGGGTAGGTATGGCAGCAGCTCTCACACTGGACTACGCATTTTAACAGTACTCATTCCAAAACCACACATTTCATTGTTCTGATCACACAAGCCTCTAACCAATGGGTCAGGGCAACACTGTGGGCAAAGGCAAAACAGTGCCGTAGGGGAAAGCAACCCGAATTTGTGAGCCAGTGTCTTTAGAGAAAAGCGGAATTGCCAATCTTCACAGACTGCTCCTTACAGATCCCTACCCTACAAGGCCAGCCTCACACCAGCACTCCTGGTCCCTCAATGTGCTAACCCCTCATCTCTTCCTCAATCTCTAACCAGCCAGGACTAGCTATTCTTTTTCTAACACTCAACTCAAACCACCTCTCTTTCACAAAAAGTATCTCTTACAGCTTCTCAACTCCAGATTAGGTATGGTCCCTGGAAAGCAATAAATGCAAAACCTAAGTGATAACACTTAACCTACTATAATGTGTTTTATTTATCTGTGATTCTCTGCTGCTTCTAAAGCATAAATTCCTTGGGGCGGGGGATCTACATCTTTTTCCTCTATAGCCCAGGACTTAGCACACCAACTCCTACAATGTTCTATTAAGTGACTAAATGATGTGATGACCATCCGAAGAACATGGGAGAGTATCCTAAGTCCTGGTCTTAAGATTCCAAATCGAGGGTGGGGGGTGGGGTGGGCGGGCATCTCAATTTTGAAGGATAAGTTCAGGACAAGTAAAAGCAAATCTTGTTTCACTGGTGAGCTGTGAGGTAAAGAGTACTGGACAAGCTGTCTAGGATAAGCCCTCACCATGCAAGTGGAGCTGAGTCATCTCAACATGGGAGGAAACGGTCAAGCAGTCCCTATCTCTACGTGACCAGGATCAGGCCCCTCCAGTCAATGGTAGTACAGAAAAATGATACATTTACGAAAATGGCATGCAGGAAATGTCAGCTAATATCAATGAAGAAATAAGATTTCAGAATAGTTTTTCTCTGTCAAGGGACAAACACATAGTGGGACAAAATGATGGGTTAGAAGAGATGGGTGCAAAGGTTTCTTCCAACTATAAGGTTCTAAGAAGTTGGAAGAGAATGTGGAAGAGAATTTTGGCACTGACCACTATTTCTTTCCTTCCTTCCATCCTTCTTCCTTTCTTTATCTTTTCATTGTTTTTATTACTCAAAAAGCTTCATTTTTTAAATTTGCCTTTTGACTCTGTGCTTGTGCCTTTTAACACTTCCACAATATTTTGTGCTCCTCAGTAAGAAAAGCATGCCTGATCTTGTCACAGCACAATGTACACACATGGGCCCACCATAGGCCCTACTGACATGCTTTTTTCATTGTAGACTCTTGGTCTCACACACTAATTCAAAGAGAGTGCTTAGGCACACCCCCATATGGATTCTGGCACTTTCCCACCCTTTTTGGTGTAAAGGTAAACAACTCTATTCCCAGGGATTCGGGCTAGCCTAGCGTTGTTAGAGGCTGTACTGCAGAACAGCCTACAATGGTATGTCAAACGCTGGCCCATTCTGAATGCTTATGGAGACCGTCCCTGGAAGAGCTCAGTTATCTTTCATTGAAAGAATATGCCTACCCTTCGTCAGCAATCTTCAGTTTATCCTCATCTGAAGAATCATCACTGGATGATATTATGGCTTTGGATTTAATTTTCCCCTTCATTGAAGGAGGCAGACGTTCTGGCTTGGGCTAAAGAAAAATCAAACATAACAGATCAGTCAAGGCTCTCACATCAGGACATTTTGTTCAATTGGGTTTGTACTATAATGAAACATTCAAACAGCAACCAATGAATCCAAAATCAAGAGTCAGTGCTTGAAGACACTGCAGGGAAAGAATGTATTTTAGTGTACGACAAGCCTTCGTGGAGAACCACAGTATTATAAACTCACCGCCTTCTTCTTTTCTGCTCTTGGTGGACGGCGCTTTTTCAGTTTGGGGCCATTTTCTGTGTCTTCATCATCAGATCCTTCTTCTCCCTTTGTTGGTCTTAAGTAGTGAAGAAAAAGTCTGTCAAGATTCATGCATGCCTATAAAGTCTACTTGCCATCAAAACATTCACGTTCGCCAGTTAAGTCACTCTTGGGCCTCTTACTGATCTAAAATGAGGCTGAGCCTGGCATTTGGCGGTGACAGAGGATGTGAGACAAGACCCAGGTTCCTGTGCTTTCTTCCTTCCAAACTACTCATGCTAGGTTAGCTGATATCCTATTACAGCTTCAATTCTATGGGTCTGTGTGAATGACTGAATCAGATTCTTCCCCAAACACAGTCATCCAAGGGCTGGGAAGAACAGGCCTAGGTAAGAAAACCCATTGAAGGTTCCTGGACAGGGAAGCACCAGAGAAGAGAAACGGGACACTTCAGAGGCACCTCCAGGTGAGAGATGGGCAGGGCACCACTGACCTCAAAGTGGATGGCTTGGGCAGATTAAAGGACTTTCTTTCCCATGAATTCACTTTTTAAAATATCCATCAAAACCATGAAGTGGGCATCATTATTACCATTTTACAAGGAGGAAACTGAGGCACAGTGACTCATTCTAAGATTGCACAGGGACAAGTAGAATGGACACACGGGGTTTTCTCATTCTAAACTGCATACATCCTCCAATAAATATGACAATTTTAAAGATACAAGAAAGGCAATTAGTTCTAACTTGTGGCTCTCAGAAGGGAAGTTGTGAAGATGTGAGGTGATTCCAATTCTCAGGGGACTTTAGTGATCTAAGGATTAAACAGGAAGTGAGGTATCAAGAAGCTTTACTACCTGGAAGATCAAGTGATTTCTGGGTGTTTGCAAATTCAATACCTAAGATTGGTTCAGAAAATGAGAGGGTTTTTTGCCACCTTAGAAGGTTACTTATAACACAGTGGTAATACCTTCTCCTCTTTTTCTTCTTTCTCTCTCCACCCTCCTCTTCTTCGCCTTCTTGCTCACTCCCACTGCCCTTTCTTCTCTTCTTCTTTTTGGATACTGGCAGGTCCTCATCGGTGTCATCATTGACAAATTCATCGAACTCTCCCTTCTTAGAACGCTGAAATCCAAGTAAGACTACAGTCAGCTCTTTCCTGGCTCATGGAATGTGGCTGGAATTCTGAGGTACAGAAAGAGGCCATGTCCTCTCAGTCATGTGACGAATGGAGGATTTTGTACCAAGTCACACGGAAGAGGTGCTCGGCGAGGCCCATATTTTAAAGACTTCTAATTAGGATAAATGCCTCAAGTGGCAAAAATTGTAAGCAACTTAGGTAGTTCACTACAGGGTAGAATGTGCTCAGCTAACACTGGAATGCATTTCTAAATAAAAGCACTCTGTCTGGGAAGACTGTCCTTAGCTAAGGACTAAGTACAGAGTGAGTGAATGCAATCATTTTTATCTTCGTTTCTGGAGTCGGGGCCAGGACCGGGGCCAGCAGTGTTGGTGGGAGGAACATCTTACCCGCCCGCCACCACTGCCTCTTTTCTTTTCTTTTGCTGCTTCAGTCTCTCCGGTAAACATAAGAATGTTTTTGGTCTTCTCAACATACTGGGCACGCTGTTCTAACAGTTTCTTTTGCTCTTCCTTCTCTCTCAGACGTTTCTCTTCCTAGGAGGAAAAAAGGGTAGAACAAAAACCTCATCAAAATGTCCTTAGGGTGAAATAAATCATGGCTACCATCAAAAGGACTTCTTTTTATCATACAAAGTATATGTGTGCACATAATTCTTTAATTCTAGTATGAACCACAATAAATACCTGTTCTTTAAGAAGTTTCTGCCTTAATAGCTCTTTTTCTTGCTCTTGTTTGGCCCGCAACTCCCTCTCTTCTTCGTCCTGCTTGCGTGCCCGGGCCACATGGTATTGGGCCTGGCTCAATAAGTCAGAGCACTGCCTAGAACATTTCAGATTTAGAGAAACATGAGCGCAGCCAATGTACTTTTTGTTCAAAAATCAAAGCATCTGTTTTCCTTACACAAATTAAGAAGTCTGAAGCGGGACCATTAGCTGACATCTATGGGAAGTGTTAATTAGCAAAATTAACTTCATTTCACATAAACCAATACTGTCAACTATGTTAAGTTTCCAAATTTTAAATGTCTGCCCAAAGCAGAACTAAAAAGATCTTCAATATTATCTTCACATGTGACTCAAAGAATCAGGAATCATATCTTGGTTCTAATAACACAGCTGATGTAGTTTCAATGTAAGCACTAAACAAATGTTGTAACATTCCCTGAAAGAACCCTCAGAAAAAAGCTTTGGTCCAGGCAGGGGGTCCCAGAGGAATGGGAAAGACTGACCCTTGACATAGCAGGACCCCGCTCACTCTATCATTCTCCCAGCCCACCTTGCCATCACCGCTTCTTCCTGAAGTCACCATTCACAAACTGTAGTTACCTGGCTTCTGTGGCAGCAAGGGCCAGATCGAATCTCATTTTATCTCCCACTTTACTCAAGTAACTGAAATATCTAAACAAAATGAGAAAATAAAATACTTAAAATAATTTAAATAAAATAGGCCCTTTAGATTTTTTAATAGCCTAAAAAAAGATTTATACATCAACTGACTTATATGCATATATTTAATACATCAAAAGTTAGCATCTCAATAGGAAAATTATATATGCAACCCACTTAAAAGACTCTTATCAATATGCCACTCAAGCCCTAACTGGTTTGGCTCAGTGGATAGAGTGTCGGCCTGCGGACTCAAGGGTCCCAGGCTGGATTGCGGTCAAGGGCATGTAGCTTGGTTGCAGGCACTTCCCCAATAGGAGTTCTGCAGAAGGCAGCTGATTGATGTTTCTCTCTTATCAATGTTTCTAACTCTCTCCCTCTCCCTTCCACTCTGTAAAAAATCAATAAAATATATATAAAAAAATATGCCACTCAATCTGTTCAATAAAAGACCAAGTACATTAAGAAAAGCCAAGTTATACTTAATGTCATCAGTAAATTAATAACCAAAAATCTGTTCAAACAATAAATATTTACTAAACACTAAATTTACTAAAAATGTCAGCATGGAGGTTAGGAGTCTGAAGCCATGAAAACACAATCTACCAAGCAAAGCAAGAAATGCTTAAATAAGAATTCAAATAAGGTTACCGGTAGATATAATCTGAAAAGATGTTAGGTTTTAATTTTATCACACATTGAATTACAAATAAATACTATCAAGTTACATATATTTTAAGCTAAATAAACCTATTCATATTTAAGAGTGAAGGCCTTAATCTTGACTCAATGAAAATTAATATCCCATGAAAAGACACACTGGCATAACAAAACCAACATAAGTGGAATCTAAAAGTTTCAAGTGTGTAAAATGTGGGGTCATATTACTGTCAGGTTAATGAAAAATCTAAAAATGAAAAGCTTGCAAAGCTAGCAGCCAGCCAATTCTGGGGATCTGGCTCTGTGATCCAAATCTGGCAAGCTCCCAGCCACCTGGTGGCAGCTATCTGCTTTGGTTTAAAAATCTCTGGAATAATTTGAATAGATTCCCTTTCAAGATTCTCTTTTTCTAAGAAATTCCCGAGAGAAGTGATTTTCAGCACTTTTTGACACATGTGTCTAAAGAAATAAAGCATTTCAAAGGTTGTGTCTACAAACTCTTACCTATGTGCAAGCTCCAGTTCTTTCACAGCATTAAGTACTTCCTTTAGATTACTCTTCTCATCTTTCAGGACAGAGGTAGCTAACCTTTGTAGGACCAAGGCCACATTAAACATTAGAACTGTATCACTGGGTGCCACATGTCTAGCCTATAAGTAAAAAACAAAGTAAATATTGCACATGATCTAATGACACAAAAAAAGATTTTAGTCAGTATGAGTGTCAGGTATGTGAACATGCATAAGACAGAATAAAATGTAGGAGTTATTTTTACCTTCAGCAAAGTCTGTTTGCATTCCTGTAACTTGCCACATTTGAAGAGGGCCCGGGCCAAATAGAGCACAACTTCAGTGTTCTGGTGCTTATAGAACTTTCTGAGGCAGTTTTCATACTACAATAAAAGAGGAAGTTAAAACTCAACAAGGATTAAATGATACTGTTATTTTGTAATAAAATTTCAACAATCTTAAAGCTATATAAAAATGTATTTAATCCCTTAAGTAGTTGATTTCAAAGAATCTGAGAATGATTTCTGACTTTCACAAGGATACATTTTTATAACATAAAAAATTTGATCAAAAGAAGAACTACCAGAAATAGCTTTTCCATTTGAAATTTGGACCAACATAAAGAGGATAAGCAGATAGGAAGGCCATTTTCATCATTAGCAATACTGTTTAGAATCAGCTACTGACAACCTTGCTCACACATCCTGTCTTTAGGATTGGTGGAACCTAATGGTAATGGGCATGAGAAGGTTCATATTTTTGGTGTTAACATTTTGGAAAACCAATAATAAGACAATACTGGTATTACTTTTGCCATGAGCATGCCATTTTTTAATCATGAAATATATCTTGTCATAGGTAAGTTCTTTTTCATCAAGTACGCTTGGACAGTTTTCCCAATTATCTCTAAAAATCAATTGAGATTTTAAAAGGCGATGTTATCATTCTGCAGATCAGGAAGACACCTCTCCAAAAACACAACTCCTGAGACTATCCTATGCAATCTGGCTTCTGTAAGTCCTTGTGATTAGTGCCGTTCTGATATTCTGAATACAGTAATAATGCTCACCCTTCTTAGAAAAAAGGTTAACCACTTTCCAGAGCCTGGCTGCTCTTGCTGCTACCTTTAGTAAGAAGCATGCTTTCTGTTATCCTAGTATTTCCCTTGGAGCCCAAGAACCTTTCCACTTTTGGACTATAGTATGACTCTTTTACTTCAAGTTTAAGTACTCAACAAATACGAAGCAACTGGTGGATCCAAGGCTTATAACTCTGGACACCAAAGACGGGCCTTCACTTTAACCTACCTAATAAAAGAGTAATATGCAAATTAACCACCACTCCACACTACAAGCCAAGCCCACCAGCCAATCAGAGTGAGTATGCAAATAAATCCAACCAAGATGGCTATAGCGTAAGAGAGCAGGAGGGAGGCGTTTTTCCAGCAATGAAGGAAGCCAAGCTTTACCCTTGCCCTTGCTGGCCTAAGCCTCCACTCAAGGCTACAAAGTTTCAATTATAGAAGGTAAACAAATCCAAACAGAAACGGCTGCCACCGCTGAGCAAACAGGAGCCTTGGCTCCATTCCAAGCTATAAAGTTTCAATTATAGAAAGTAAATATATCCCAAATACCAGGGCTTCTGCTTGGGTCGATGCGGGGTGTGGCTGGCCTGCAAACCACCACAAGCCTCTCTCTCAGGCCATCCCATGCCCCAAGGGAACCCACACCCTGATCCAGGACACCCTTCAGGGCAAAAATAGCTGGCCACCACCTGTGCACTAGGCCTCTATCCTATCTAATAAAAGAGCAATATGCAGATTGACCATCACACCAACACACAATATGGCTGCCCCCATGTGGTTAAAGATCCTGCCCCTATGTGGACACAAGATGGCCAGCAAGGGAGGGCAGTTGAAAGGGACCAGGCCTGCAAGGAAGGGCAATTGAAGGCGATCAACCCTGCAGGGGAGGGCAGTTAGGTGTGACCAGGCTGACAGGGGAGTAGTTAGACATCAATCAGGCTGGCATGGGAATGGTCAGGGGGTGATCAGGCAGGCAGGCAGAAGGGTTAAGGGTGATCAGCCAAAAACCACGCTGAGTGTTGGCGGGAGTCTCTCCCACCTCTGCAGCAGATCTAAGGATGTCTGACTGCTTCTTGCGGGCCTAAGCCATTAGTGACTTAGTGGTCAGTGTGCATCATAGCAACCGGTTGTTCCCCTATTTGGTTGATTTGCATATTACCCCTATATTATATAGGATGAATTGACACAGTATCAAACAGAGATGCAACTCCCTGAAGGGCCAAAATGGTTCAGAAAACATCTGCTCAACAATGAACACAAAATAAAAATATCTTGAAAGATAAGACATTACCATCTGGACAGCACTGATATATTGTTTCTGTTCCACATAGATGTGTGCTAGGTTTAGCCACACATCACTGATATCTGCTGTTGCTTCTCTTACTTGGGCAAATACGTCACGAGCTTCACGGAAATATCCTTTGTGGGCCAAAACAGCTCCTAAAGTTAGAAAAAGGTTCACAGTTCAGAATTTTCTATTTGTGGCGGGAAAAACAAGTAAAAGTCCATTTTAAAACAACTAACTTCATTACACTTAGAAGAAAATTCTGATCTACAACATTCCTACAAAAGCACTCATTTCACAATTATAGAGATTCAAGTCTCACATTCACCTATTCCATTAGCAGCATATAGATTCTTTGCATCATTTCTGAGTACTTGCTTGTAGATGGCCAGAGCACGATCTTGATGGCGCTTTTCCTATAAAAACAACAACCAGATGTTATACAAAAATTCAAACAAGAGGAAACAAGTATCAGTTTTGTTTTAAAGAGGAAAAAGAAATTTACTTTTTCTCTATCTCGGGTGGGCTGATGCAAAGTTTGGAGCCAGACATTGCCAAGGGCCAGCATAGAGTACGTGTCACTCTGTGTAGCTGGTTGTTTTAATATCCTCTCAAATTTCTTCTGGCCTGGACCCCATTCTTGTTTCGCCAAATGAAGATTACCAATCAAAGACCAAGCATCTGGATGGTCCTGAAACACATATAAAAATAAGTGAAATCTGTTAATTTGGATTCAGAGAGATCAATTATCTTTCCACACAGCTGATTACTGAAGAGGTTTATAAGTTACCTTTACAACAGTGTTTTCAAGCTGAGAGTTGTTAAATCAATTTAGTGTGTAATTATCAGCAAAAGAAGTGCAGTAGAATGGAATAATACAGTAAAGATATGTGTCACCCTCATGGCAAGAGCACACAATGACTAGCAAATTTCATTTCAGCTGTTTGTATACGTGTGTGTACTAAGCTAAGATGTGAAGCCTATTTCTTTTTCTTTCTTTTAATATATTTTTATTGATTTCAGAGAGAAAGGGAGAGGGAGAGATAGAAACATCAATGATGAGAGAGAATCATCAATCAGCTGCCTCCTGCATGCCCCCTACTGGGGATCAAGCCTGGCGCAACTCAGGCATGAGCCCTTGACTGGAATCGAACTTGGGACCCTTCAGTCTGCAGGCCAGCACTCCATCCACTGCGCCAAATCAGCTAGGGCATGAAGCCTATTTCTTACTGTGGGCCATATAAAAAAGTTAAGATAAATTCTATACTCTTTAATATCTTTAACAAATTAAAAAAAAAAAAAATAGGAAAACGCGAAGATACTAGAAATATGATAGCCATTAAAAGGAAAAACTGATTTACTAGGGGGAAAAGATGAAATAATTACTTTTCAAACCTAAGTGTTAGTATTACTTTTCAAACCTAAGTGTTAGTATTAACCAACCTGGTTAATCTGAAGCGCTTCCTTAAACCAATCTGAAGCCTCATAAAAGTTTCCTTTATCTCGAGCCATGGCTCCTAGGCGCAGATAGCCTGGAAATGAACATTTAAAAGATTTTGCTTAAAATATTAGCTATAAAGGTTATAATTTTAAAGGCATACATTTGAAACAATTGGTTTTTGTTTACTTATTCATATGCTGAACAGAAAAATACCCACAGGTGAAAAAATATCAAGCATCAACATAACTAATAATCTAACAAGTTAAAGCAACTCAGCCACTATCAAGTCTTACCTCTCCCACTCCATTTCCAATGCTAGCACTCTGTTCCAAGACCTCACCTCAAGCTAAATTCTTTTAAATGTTTAGAGCTGTTCTGCCTCCAATTTCTCAAGCTACTGTCAAGTTACTTTTCTTACATAGCTGCTTGTCATACAGCAAATAGTGAAAGCATGGATGACTAGGGATTACTTCTTACAAAACCTATATTCTAACTGTGACTTTTTCACTTAAGTAATAATAATAAAGGTGCCACACAAACATAAGTTATTTTCTCCATAAAACCTCACTTTTCTCAAGAAACCAACCATGGCTGACTATTGCTTATCAAATCAATTCAGATTCAGTATGGCATTCTACTAAACATGTCAGGAGCCAAGTTAATAGCTCCTGATTTGACCAGTCAAAACACCATAGCTTTAGGTTCTTTTAAGGAAGTACAGTAAGATAGCCTCATCCATGAAATAGGTCCAATTGATTTTTAGTTGTGTCAGTTTTTAGCATAAATTTCAGGGGAGCTGCATTTTTTTTAAGGCCACGAATTTGCCTTGAAGAAAAGGGGACATTGTAACCTTCAAAAATTCCTTACTATTAGTTTTAAGAAAGATTTTTTATTTTTAGGCTAAATTTCCGTTGACATTGTGGGAATTTTAATACATTAAAATGAGTTTCAAATTCTTACAATCAACATAGTTAGGATGTTCCCGTAGGATATTCTTATACAGTTTTTCTGCTTCATGGAATTCACACATCGCCTCATACAGCCTGGCTAAATTGTAGGACGTTGTGACAGAAATGGCATTATAATAATGTTCATCATGTTCAGCTTCAGCCTTTGCACGATCCAGTGATGCCAAAAAATATTTCTATAAAAAAAAGAAACTTACTTTGTTAAAAGACTTAGTGGATACCGCTAAAAGAGTATGCATTCAATGTGACCGTATAGAAGAAGAGAATATCTATTTTCTTACCTTTGCCTCCCCTAGATTTCCAAGTCTAAAATGGAGGGCTCCCACATTATTTAGAATCTCTGGGGGGACATCGGCCTGTACTTTTTCCTGAAGGATCCGTGTTGCTGTTCCATAGGCTGAGAGGGCACCCTGTATTTTCAAGGTGAGCAGAATAAGATGTAAATGAAAGTGAGTGAGACATACGCTCCACCAGGCTTACAAAAACATGTTAGGTAGGAGATGAAGAGCATTTCGAAAATACCTGGATATCAGTCTGTTCTAATATTTGTGCCAATTCAATCCAAGCTTCAACATCATCAGGGTACTGCTCTGTGACCTTCTTCAAATGGCCCTAGGGAAAAAGAATGTAAGCTAGCCGAAACCGGTTTGGCTCAATGGATAGAGCGTCGGCTTGGGGACTGAAAGGTCCCAGGTTCGATTCCGGTCAAGGGCATGTACCTTGGTTGCGGGCATATCCCCAGTGGGAGGTGTGCAAGAGGCAGCTGATCGATGACTCTCTCTCATCGATGTTTCTAACTCTCTATCCTTCTCCCTTCCTCTCTGTACAAAATCAATAAAATATATATATATTAAAAAAAAAAAAAAAAGAGTGTAAGCTAAAGCATTCCAACCACAAGCTGTCCAAGTAGGAAGTGGTGGCTACTCTACAATTGTTCTTTCAACTGGAGCGAGCTCAGCTAACAATGACAAGAAATAAGGAATGAGTCTAGGGAGAAATAGATAACTGAAAATAACTAAGATTTTTAAAATATGTACCTTGGCAATGTCTCGTTTTTCTTGATCTTCTGAGGCAGCATACAGAGAGCCAAGAATTTTCATAGTTTCATAATTATTAGGATAAGCTTTCAAAACTTTCTCAAAGCACTGAGATGCATTTTCTTTGTCACCTCGATAAATATACATTTGTCCCAAACCAAAAAATGGCAGCACAAAAGAGGATGAGGCAAACTGTGTGGCTTGATAGTAGTACTGGAAAGCTTGGTCATAATCTTCCTGAAAAATGAAAGTAAAACAGGATCAACAATATGTACAAAGTTTTTCAAAGACATGAAAAACTAGAAGAAGAAAAAAAGGATTTAATATTTAGAGAAGGCTGAAAATGATCTTACCTGGACATGGAATGATCTAGCCAGCTGGTAGCAACTTTCTGCTTGCATAGCCTCCACTTCTGTATTATGGAATGCATGGAGGGCCAAGTGCTGGACTTTACTGTAATCCTGAACAAGGAAGATCCAAAATCAACAGAGTGAATTCAAACTCCATCACTCTCAACTTTAAAAGGCTTCTTTTAAAATGTTAACTGAACTAACAATAACAGCACTGTATACAGATCACTAATCATTTTTTCTCATTTCACTTGCTGATAAGTGTGGGGAAATGGGAACTAACATTTACCCGGCACTTAACATTTGCCCATTATATCTATGGTTTACTTTCTTAATCCTGACTACAATCCTTTGCAGTAAACAGCCCTATTTTTGTCATGAGAAAAACCTAAGAGAGGTTAAATCCCTTATTAATGACAGCAGTAGTCATAATTTATTGAGAACTACTTATGTGCCAAACACTATGCTAGGGATACTTGCATTAGTTCCAAGTTTAATCAAAATCCTGCCAAAAGTGTCATTATTACCATTTTACTGATGGGTAAGTGGAGGCTTAAAGAGATAAAGCGTATTGTCTAAAGTGGAAAAACTAGACTCTGAATTCAGGTATGTTTGTTTAAAATAAATTTTTATTGATTTCAGAGAGGAAGGGAGAGGAAGAGAGAAATAGAAACATCAATGATGAGAGAGTATCATTGATCAGCTGACTCCTGCATGCCCCACATTGGGGATTGAGCCCAGGACTGGGTGAAATAGCGATCTCCTGGTTCATGGGTTGATGAGCAACCACTGAACCACACCGGGTAGGCTGAATTCAGGTGTTTTTTTACTCCAGGGAAATGTTGTATCACCCGAGAATAGCAACTGCCAGACAGAATTCAGCTCTATATGAATGCCTGGGTCATGGCCTTTACGACAGACCTGACTTTTGCTTCGATTACCGAAAGCATATAGGTTCCAAGAGTATAATTCTGTAGTACGTCATTTGTATATTCCATTGTGTTTATCACCTAATGTCAAATCTCCTTCAGTCACCATACATTTGATTCCCTTTACCCTTTATTATCCCCTCCCAGCCTTTCTCTCTGGAAACCACCATACTGTTGTCTGTGTCTATGAGTTAAAAAAAAATTATTTTTTAAAAGCAAAGAACTTTAAGAAATTACTCCTCTTACCTTTTTGAAGAAAAAGTGATTTGCCAAGTGGTTTAATACCATAGGGTTGCTAGGATCAATGGTATAAGCTCTGGAAAGAAGCTGGACACCATTTTTGATGGAATCAGCCTGAAAGAAAAACAATGATGACAGGGCTGAGTGAAAACATTACCTAATTAGCACTTTCCAGTTTTCTTGATAGTCTGAAGAAATAAGGTTCCATAAATCTAAGTTCAGATGCCAAAATATAGCTCTTGTTTTAGTTGACCTTTAGGGATAAAACAGTGAATTAAATTGTAAAAATTTAGTTTTCTTTTAATTAATTGCAGAAGCACTTCCACTGAAAACCTTGTCTAGGCAACTTCACAGGGAAGCATCTGGGAGCTTCCTTCTCAATACAGGATAGGGCTTTACGAAACCAGTACAGAGGTATTTTACTTTTTGACATTTGTCATGCTAGGAATTCATAGGAAAGGGTTCAGGCAGCTTAGACTCCTTTCCATTGGTTCTCACAACATGTGTTTCTCTGTGTGGAGCAGGCTGACACTTCAATTGAACCCATGTACCTTTCTCTTTGGCTTCTTTTTCTGATCACTTTCCTTCACACATTTCTTGAAATTATCTCAGCTGTTAGAGTGCTTAATATACTCAATATGTACATGCATTCTCTTGGCAAGAATCTTGCCCTTAACTTGTTCACAGCAATGCCCGCTGCATGCTGGTGACATTATAGACTCTCCCAGTTTTGCCATGGCAACATTTGTGGGGCGTTCCTTTTTAAAAAGTGCCCGTTCCCTCAATGTCTATATCACCTTTCTTGTGGATTTGCATGTATGTGGCTAAAGGAACAACTCCATGTTTTCTAAAAGGCCTAGAGAATATATAGTGGGTGCTCTCCTCTTTCCCTTTGTTAGTCATTTTGGTGAGTTATTGGAAGATGGTGGTTCTAGCCAGAAAGCAGGATAGAACAAATCCTTTCCCTTTCCTCCCTTCTTATCCAGATGATATAATAATGAGATGCCTGGAGATGTAGCAGCTATCTTACAACTATGAGGTGACAGATGAGGAGGAATGGCCACATAGTAAGGGAGGACAGAAAGATATAAAACCCTGGGTTTGATGATAATGAGGTACCAAATCCAAGTCTAGCTGGTTTAGTACTCAATGAAAAGTCCATGTTTAAGTCACTTGTTTGTGCTTCTTGTTTGTTACATGCTGTTGAAAGCACTCCAAACTGATATACAGTCTATAATCTCATAACTGAGAATCTGAAATCCAAAACCTCTTAAAAAAAGTTTATTATTATCTTGGAGCAAGCTCATATGGTGGCAGACTTTACCTGAAGTGTGAGGCTATCCTATTAGTGTGAAAGGCCACTCCTTTTGCCATAGAAATTTAAATTCACATTTGGGCTTAAGTCTTAATAACCAGGTTTCTTTGTTATTGCAGTGCAGGCACCGTGTTACATTTCTATAATCTGAAAACTTGATTTCTGAAACACTCTGGCCTCAGGAGTTTTAGATAAGGGACTGTGTGCCTGACTATCGGCCAGGATTTTTTCACTCACATACCTCTTTATTGTTGAGCTCTAGAACGGCCAGTCCGACCAATGCCCCCACACATTTGGAATTAAGTTCCAGCGCTCTGCTGAATGCGAGACGAGCTTTCTCCAGTTTGTTAAGTTTCACAAAGCAATGGCCCATTCCTAAACGAACTTCCGCTAAAAAAAACAAAGTCATTCAAAAGCAATTTTAAAAATGCTTAAACATTCTCTATTTATGAGTTGCAAAAAAGCCCAAAATTAACCTCAGTATAACCACACTGTTAAATTTTGTGTTTTTTTTACAAACTTTATTCACTGTAGGTTAGATCATACTACTCTCTCCCTGTCTCCCCAACCCTGACCCCTTCACCATAGATACCTTTCTCACCATAGAACAGAACACCTAAAACACTGCTGTTTTTCTTGTCTTCCAACACTCCTGGCTTCACTATCTCTACAATGTCTAATTTTTGAAGAGTAATTTTAAAAGATAACAAAAAGCTTCATTAAGACCTTTTGTGACTGACTACATGCACATATTATCTCTGCTCATAGCTATGCTTATACACACTGTTTGATTTTAAGGCCATGCCAAAACACAACCATGCTCCTAACTAAAGAACCTCTCCACTGGTCACAAGAACCTAATCTTCACATCTATGTAAGAGTATTTTTCCTATATCATCCAATTTTCCTTTTCTACTAAATTATTCTTATCTACACATATTCTCCCATCTTAAAAAAAATCTTCTTGATTCCATTTCCTTTTTCCTTTATCAACCCATTCCTATTCTTCCCTTAATAGCAAAACTTTAGATCTAAAATAATAGGACTTTGGAAATAAAAGTAGTATAGGGCAAAAAGATTATAATATCTACTATTCAGGTTTTTTTTTTTTTTTTTTTTTTTACAGAGAGGAAGAGGAAGGGAAAGAGAGTTAGAAACATCGATGAGAGAGAATCATCAATCAGCTGCCTCTTGCACACCCTCTACCGGGGATGTGCCCGCAACCAAGGTACATGCCCTTGACTGGAATCGAACCCGGGACCTTTCAGTCCACAGGTCAATGCTCTACCCACTGAGCTAAACCGGTTTCGGCTATTTCTCAGTTTTTGAATCAAACATAGTGTTTGTAAAAGTCTTAATTTTGTCATATCAATAAACCTACAGAATCTTTTCAAAACTAACTTTATAAGCAACTGCCAAATCCTTAATATTTTAAGTTGGATCAAACACAGCTTAGACTTAAAATAAGGTTTTCCTCTTACCTGGACATCCTGGGTTAGTACGCAATGCTTTCTTATAGTAAGCAAGAGCTCCCCTGTAATCCTTCTTGTTGAATGAAATGCAAGCTTTACCTGTAAAGATTTTTAAAAAATAAACATGCACTAATTGAAGAACACAAGTCTCACATGCTCTACACTCACCTAACTCAAATACATCTCAGTAAGAAATACTACTTGAAAATAGTGAAAGTGATTTCATATCAAAATTTGTTTTCCATAAGGGTATATTAATTTATGCCTATAAATAAAACAGTCCTGTCTTTATACTGAATGTTCACAATAATTAAAATAGCCTAGAGTTGTCCAAATAGAGATTGTTTATTGACTCTTTAAAAGTGGATAACAAAATTGTTCTAACTGGTATATATTTTAGTTTTATAATTTCAACAGAAAAAATGATCTATTACAGATAGTTCTATTTTTAATAAGGTGAAGCTCTCTACTTTGGTGTCCAGCCCATTACTAAGGAGCTATTATGAAGAGATATATTTCAGGCATATGCTGAAAAAGATGGATTTGTAAGATGTTTGCCGAAAATGACTTACCAAGGAGGGCTGGGATATTATTTGGAGACTGGTTGAGTACAAAATGAAACTGTGCATCAGCCTGATCCATTTTGTCACCTTCAAGTAGGCAGAAGCAAGCTCTTCCCAATAAATGGTTCTGAAAAAGCAATGCATCATGTTTAACTTCTTTACCAGGATTAACCACAATTTAACATGAATGTATAACACTAAAACAAAAACCATGTAGAAAGGAGGTGCAGCATCACCCAAATTCCTCTATCAACTGTAAGATGTTTAAACTAGTAATGAGCAATTCTTAATAACAAACTGAGGAATTATTCTGAAATGCAACAAGTCTCCGGTGCTAGGAACAATGACATAAAGAAAAGTTAAAACTTAAAAAAAAAAAAAAAATATGCTTGAAATCCAGCTGGAGATGTTGGAATTACTGACTAAACATGTGGATAAGTTTTGTATGCTAAATTACTTCAACAGTACAAGGACCAAAGAAATTCCAATTTTAATAAGGGGAAGAAAATACAAATAAAATAAAAACATAAATCAAGGAACCCCTCTTTGTTTTGACTATTTATATTAACCATGATATTTTAAGAAAAATTCTCTCAAAAAGATCTATTGCCTATCATGTAATATTGTTTCCTTTCATAAATTCAAAGAAATTCGACTTATTTTACCTGATCATACATAATAATTTTATCAGCCATTGTATATAACAGGGTTGCCTGTGTAATAAGATCTTTCTTGTTGTCCTTATTCTTTTCTTTCCGAGCCTGTTGTACATAGTAGGCCGCCAATGTATCCAAGCAAGTCATCTGGTCTTTTTCATGGTCTCTATAGTCCAAATTGCCATCTATTCGTGCTGCTTCCAACAACTTCACAAACTCTTCTGTTTTTCCTTGTTTGTAGTATTCCAACTATGAGGTAAAGAATCAAATCAGAATTACTAACGCATATGTCCATACAAAAAGTTGTACACAAATCTAACAGTTTTATTTGTAATAATCAAAAACTGAAAACAACCCAGTTGTTGATCAACAGGTGAATGGAGAAAGAAACTGTTGTTCATATGTACAATGGCTACTGTTCAGCAGTAAAAAGGAAGAATTTTTGATACATATTATAACATAAATAAATCTAAAAATAATTATTTTGAGTGAAAGAAACCAGACAAAAAGGAATACGTATTATATGATTCCATTTATATGACTCTAGAAAATGAAAACTTTTTAGCAACAAAAAGCAGACCAGGTGTTACTTGAGCACTGTAGGGAGCAGGGGAAAGTTAGGAGGAAAGTTTTAGGAGATAGGGGGGATGGACATATTCATTATCTCCGTAGTGGTGATGATTTCACAAGTGTTTATATATGATAGACCTTCTCAAATGGTACCCAAGAAATATATGCAGTTTATTATAGGTGAATTATATCTATAAAGCTATCAATATTATAATTTACTACAAATGTTTCCAATTTACTTCTTACCTAGCAATAATTGATTTCAAACTAAATCAGAGCTAAGAGAGAAAGCAATAATGAGAAATATAAAGAACTCCAAACAGAAAACTTGGGTTCTGGCTCTAGATCTATCAAAAATTATCTATGACTTGGGCTTGTTGAATAACTTCCCTAGGCATGTTTATTAATTAATAATAAAAGAAATATCAATCATTCATTAACTACCTAATATGGGCCACATACTATGCCAGGAGCTTCATATACATTATATTTAATCTGTACACCACCCTTAAAGTGAATACTAACATCCTCATATTTTAGGTGAGGAAACAGACACAGGGGTAGATTACTGGTCCAGGATCACACAGCTAGTTAGCAGCCATGTTGCAATTTGAACAAAGGACTCTATAATCCCAAAGCCTACACTATTCTCTATGTAACAAGCAACAGCCCACAATGTTTCACCAATTTATTTTACCACTCGTGCCATGCTAATTCTTCACTACTCCAATTTTTGTATAAGTGCTGTTAAAGAAAACATTTGCACTTAAAAAAAAAAATCTAAATTACTTTATGGTTTAAAAAAATGTGTGGCAAGCATTAATGGCTTGTTCTTCACAGACGAGAAAGCTTAGCACTGCTTGCCACTGAAAGCATTTCTTAGTACATTCATACATAAGAAACTCTAAGAGTTACCCTGTTTCCCCGAAAAGACATCCTCCGAAAATAAGACCTAGCGCATCTTTGGGAGCAAAAATTAATATAAGACACTGTCTTATTTTCGGGGAAACAGGGCAGGCTGAGCACTGAGCACAGGCCCAATTCCAGATCTGCTCCTCTGACCCATGAAAACAATATTAGGAGCCTATATATCTTTCCATAAAAGTGGCCCATGGCACACTTGCTTAGGAGTCCTATCTAATAAAAGAGTAATATGCAAATTAACCACCACTCCACCACACCCACCAGCCAATCAGGAACAAATATGCAAATATGTGGCTAGATGGCTGCAGAGCAGGAAGGAGGCTTGGATTTCCCTGGCAATGCAGGAAGCCAAGTTTTCTGCATACCCTGGCCAGCCCAGGCCTTGGCTTAAGGCAACAAAGTTTCAATTATAGAAGTTACATAAATCACAACAGAAATGGCTGCAGCCAAGGAGTTGGAGAGAGCAGAGCCCAGGGTTGGCCCCAGCAATGGAGGAAGCCAAGCTTCTGCAGCCCTGGCTGGCCCAGGCCTTTGCTCAAGGCTATGAAGTTTCAGTTATAGAAGATACATAAATTCCAACAGAAATGGCGGCAGTCATGGAGCAAGCAGAAGGCTCGGCTCCACTCCAGGATACAAAGTTTCAATTATAGAAGATAAATAAATTACAGATACCAGGGCCTCCGCTTGGGTTGCCAGGAGGTGTGGCTGGCCTGCAAACCACCACAGTGACTCACCCAGGCCTCCCCACACCCCAAGGGAACCCCTACCCTGATCTAGGACATCCTTCAGGGAAAACCAGCTGGCCCCCACCCATGCACCAGGCCTCTATCCTATCTAATAAAAGAGTAATATGCAAATTGACCATTACTTCAACACACAAGACCCGATATGGTCAAAGATCCTGCCCCCATGTGGACACAAGATGGCCACAAGATGGCCAGCAGGGGAGTGCAGTTGGGTGCGATCAAGCCTGCATGGGAGGGCAGTTAAGGGTGACCAGGCTGGCAGAGGAGGAAAGCTGAGGGCAAATGGGCTGGCAGGGGAGCAGTTAGGCATCAATCAGGCTTGCAGGGGAGTGGTTAGAGGGTGATCAGGCTGGCAGGCAGAAGCAGTTAGGTAGGCAGGTGGGTGGTTGGGAGCCAGCAGTCCTGGATTGTGAGAGGGATGCCTGCCCAGACCACCCCAACAGGCAGTCAGACATCCCTCAAGGGGTCCCAGATTGGAGGCTGGGCTGAGGGACCAACCCCCCTTCCCATCGTCCACAAATTTCGTGCACCAGGCCTCCAGTAATGCTTATAGTGTTTATTACAATAATCACTTACTATAATGTTTCCACAAAAAATGAGACATCATTAAGCAACTGGTGCTGGCGAGGTGGAGGGTGGTAGATCTGAGGTGATTTTCCTGAGAATTTCCAGTAGTATTGATGACCAAACAGAATAAAAACCTTAAGCCCATAATAAGCTTCATCCATAAGGACTTTTGTGAATTAGTCTGGAAACGAATCACTTTCTAGAGTATTTTTATGGGCAATGTTTTATTTTATGGGAAATAATGTTAACTAGCAATGCTTACATCCTGACATCTTATCTTTTCTCAGCTTATCCTTAAACATTAAGCAATCACTGAACAATCAAATACTTAATATAGAGTACTATTTAACTTAAATGAATTTTGCCTTTACCAATATATACTTTTTTGTTTCATAAGTGGTAATACAATTAACTACAATACACATGGTACAAGTTCTTTATGCACCCAAGCTGGCTATTACTGTATCTGAAAACAGTTTTCCCAGTCAACATATAAAAAAATACTTGTTTCATTAATACTGACCGCCAAAGCAATCCATATGTGCAGTTGTGTGTGTTCCTGCTTCAAAATACTGATAACTTCATCCCCCTCCGGTAACTGATCGAAGTCAAGTTCAATGACCTAAAACACAAAATGCAGGTTTTTAATCTTTCTTCTTTTTAAATTCACATTTCTTTGCTGCTTTTCTTGAATATACATCAATATGGATATATATAGAGTTTCTGCTCATTTTCAGAAGGGCTGAGCAAGTGTACTAGTATATATTAGGAAATGTTTAAAGAGCATACAAGTAGGTTGGTTATAAGTAATATCAACAGAAAAAGCATAGAGAAGCAAACAATTCCTATTAGTTGTCTTCAAATCACAAATCACTACAACTATAAAATACTACAAAAGCTTTTATATAAAATACTTACTCAAAAACTACAAAACAAAATCCTGCTTAACATATAATTGCAGGCAGAGTGTAGATAAACATCCCAGAGGTAATGCAATGCCAAGGTGACTGCCACTGTACACAATAATCACCTGTGCCACAGACACACCTGAATGTGGGTACAACCACAGCAGTAGGAAAATATTCAGGAATTATAAAGTGGTGATGATTACATAGCTTTGTGAATATTACTAAAAAAAACCCACTGGGTTTGCCCTGACCGGTTTGGCTCAGTGAACAGAGCATCGGCCTGCAGACTGAAGGGTCTCGAGTTCGATTCCGGTCAAGGACATGTACCTTGGTTGCGGGCACATCCCCAGTGAGGGGCGTGCAGGAGGCAGCTGATTGATGTTTCTCTCTCATCGATGTTTCTAACTCTCTATCCCTCTCCCTTCCTCTCTGTAAAAACTCAATAAAATATATATGTTTTTAAAAACAAAAAACACTGGGCTTATAGTAAGCGGGTTCTATCTCAACCAACCAAACGAACAAAATAAGAGAACATCAATGCTGAAAGCTCTACTCAGGCCCCCGTGGATGAGGCGTCGGGAAGGGAAGGGGGTGAATTCTATCAGAAAATAGCTACGGCTATAACTTGGGGTTCCTATTTCGTGCACCGGGACAGACTCGAATTTCTAAGGGAGAAAGGACCACATCCTACCTATTCCCAGGGAAAGAGACCACCGAGACATCACCCACCTCTGTGATCTGTCTTCCAGTTTACTGAGCACCCTCACCCCCCTGCGATCGTGAATTAGGAAAATAGCAACCCAACCGGCTGGAGAGGAACTTTCAAGAATTCCTTCTCGGGGGGCCCTAGGCTGCAGGATCGCACTGTCCCCAGCCTGGGAGGCGCAGGGGGACTGGGCACCGAGACGCGCAGAGCTTCGGCCGGCAGGGGTGTCCGACCTGGGCTCCGGGAGAGCGGGACGAGGGAACGTGCGAGTTCACCGCCCCAACCCTCCTCTCCCCATACTGGACACTCACCTCGTCAGTGTCCCGGAGGGGAATCTCGATGGAGCCCCGCGACATGATGAGACCGAGAGGGGAGCGGGCGCCCTGTCCCGCCGCCCCGCAGCCGGTGCTTTTGGGGTCCGCCGCGTCCGGAGGTCGACAGTGGTGCGGGGTCTGAGCGTCCCCACCGCCGCGCCGCGGCGCCGACGGAGCTCCGCTTTCTCCTTCCCGTCAGCCGCTTAAACAACGAGCAGCAGACGGCGTCCGGCCACTTCCGGCAGCCCGGCCCCCTGTCCCGGAAGCACTCCTGGCAGCAGGGCCTATTGGACTACAGATCCCAAAGCTCTCCTTCACTGGGTGCGTACTTCCGGACTACAGATCCCAAAGCTCTCCTTCACTGGTGCGTACTTCCGGTCTGGATCAGAATACATACGCCGGGGCGGAGCCTCCCGCCCCGCCCCGCCCAGCGGAGCGACCAATGAATGAGACGCAGGCTCGGGGCCTGCCCCTGACTGACGTATGGCCTCAGGGCAATGCTTTTAATTCTCCCAGCTGGATTGGATTCTGTAATCATTGCAATAGTTCATGTATTTTGTGCTTTTTTTTTCTTCTTGGTTCTTTGAAGCGTATGAGAATAGATTTGTGACTTTGATAAAGTTGTTGAAGAATTTATTAAACCTGTAATAAAAGTTTTGATTAAGTTATAAATTTGATCAAATAGGTTTTAATTACCGTTTTAATTAAATTAAAGATATAATTACATTAGTCAGTACTCAATGTTTTGATTAAACCAGAGAAGAATCTTGGGGTTTATTTCTTTGTCTCCTCATTTTGGCTGTCTGTTTGGGTTTGTGACTATGTATTAGGTAGATCCTCTGGGCCTCTCCATCTCTAGTGTCAAATGCTGTTTCTGACTAAACAGATCAGGCAAAGACTCAAAGCCTCCAGAGATTGCCTACAGACTGATAGGATTCCCACTTGAATGGCCCCAGGCAATCATCCTCAGTCCTGGCAAAAGATTTTTTTTCAATAGAGTGGAGCAGTTTGCTTCTGCCTGGAGGCTAATTGTTACTTTTAATATCTTAAGTGGCCTCAGGGTAAGGTGCTTCCCAACAGGGTAAGTCTGTGGTCGGCAAACTGCTGTTCTCCAGCCACATGCCGCTCTTTGAGTGTGGCTCTTCCACAAAATACCACAGCCTGGGCGATTCTATTTTGAAGAATTGGCGTTAGAAGAAGTTTAAGTTTAAAAAACTTGGCTCTCAAAAGAAATTTCAGTCATTGTACTGTTGATATTTGGCTCCGTTGACTGAGTTTGCTGATTACTGGTAGGTCAACTGCCTTTGCCCTAGGCAAGGCAAGAGTCTGTGTGGGAAAGACGTCCTCCGCTGCATGAGGGAATGACTTAGCACGGGAAACTGGAGACACCTGCCTTCTGAGCTCTATCCGCTGAGTCCCCAACCCTGGCTTCTGCTCCCACAGCTCCAGTCCACTGTGCTCTCCCTCTACCAGAGCACAAGGTGGGTGGCTCCCCAGAGAATTTTGTGCCTGAATTTCCAGCTGTTTCTCTCTGACAGACAGCAACCGTGCTGCTTTTCACAGCCAGATGTTATATGGATACCCCAACCCAGCTTGGGGATTAGACCCCAGAGTTCTCTGTGGCAATCCCCCATAGCTGAGATATCTCTCAGGAGCATCAGTTGTTATCTGTGGGCACCTGGCCAGCCCCTTCTTGTCTCCACCCCTTGTACCAGTGTCATATGGTCTTCACTTTCAGTCCTCAGGTATCAGGGTTCTCTCCTGCAAGTCTTCTGTTGATTATTCAAGAAAATTTTTTGTATTTTAGTTGCAATTCCAGTTTGCTCCTGGGAGCATGTCTGTGCAGCATCACTTATTCTGCTACCATTTTTAATCTACAGCCTTATTTCCCAGAGAAAATTTAATTAAATAAATTTATAAACAGTATACTTTTCAAAAATATATATATTTTATTGATTTTTTTACAGAGAAGAAGGGAGAGAGATAGAGAATTAGAAACATCGATGAGAGAGAAACATTGATCAGCTTTTACTGAGGATGTGCCCAAAACCAAGTACATGCTCTTGACTGTAATCCAACCCAGGACCTTTTAGTCCACAGGCCAACACTTTATCCACTGAACCAAACCGGCCACACAACAGTACGCTTTTACATCCCAAAGTGTCTTTCAGATGTATCTTCTCTTCATCACCACCTCCATTCTAGCCCAAAGCATTATCCTTGCTTTCCTACCTGTATTACTGTAATAGCCTGTTTTACCAATACTTCATCTACCCAGCCCTCAAACTCCAGTCCAGCTTCATCATGTTAAACACTTATCTTTTAAAAATACCGGTTTGATATTTGTTTTTCCTCCCACCTTCCTCAAAGCTTTTAAGTGGAAACTTTGTTAAATATATACATATATATGTACATCTATCTATCTATCTATCTATCCTATATCCTATATAATAAAAGCCTAATATGCGAGTTGTTCCCTTGGGCAGTTGTTTGACTGAGAGTTCAACTGGGAGACAGACTTCTACCGCTCACTATGACATGTGCTGGCCACAGGGAGTGGGGGATGCGCCAGGGGCTTTGACCTCTCACTGGATACCTGGGGGTAGGGGGTGATAGGGATGGAGGTGGCCGAGAATGCAGGGTGTGCACTGAGCTTGCTCCCACTCTTCCTGGTACCTTCCCCTGGAATGCAAGGGCTCGAGTGCTGGGGAAGCCCTCCTCCACCTAATCAGGTGCCAGGCCCTGGCAAGGGGCCCACCCCAGACCCGCATGGCCTCTTCTGGATGAGCCGGGCCACAGCCGCCAGGACCAAAGGGGCCAGTCAGGCTCCCTGCGGGTTTGCGCAGGAGCAGGTCTGTGAGGCCCGAAGGGAGAGAGCGTGCTTCCAGGTGATGCTGCTGGATGGCCCAGAGGCCCATACTGTGGCTCAACCCACCAGTGTGCTCACTGCATCTCTGCATAGAGACTCAGGCACCGTGGTGACTCAGGCAGAGGGGGGTGCTCAGGAACCCGGCGGGCCCAGGTGCTGCCCAGGGCCCAGAGGTCAGCTTTTTGTTTTTTGTTTTTCCCTAACTGTAGCAAAGACTGATTAAATTAGACATTTTTAAGCTGTAGATTACATTTGGAATGAGTACAAAGATTTTATTTCAGCTGCTATGGTTGGGCAATGTCTGTTCATAAATTGCTAAGCTCTATGATGGGCCTGAGTGCACCAGATCAAGGTAAAGCAATTGGTGTATTTAGTCAGTGTGGGTTTTGTTGAATAGTATTCAAAGTAGCTAGGCCTTTGGACGGTGTGTCCTCTTTCCCCATCCCCACGAAGGGCTGTGGGGTTTGATTCACAGTCCAGGGTGCCATGTGCCTGGGTTTCAGGTTCATGCCCTGCCCTGGTCCCAGCGCATGTGGATCGCAACCGGTTGACTAACCCTTTCACATTGATGTTTCTCTTTCTCTTCTCCTCCTCTCCTCCTCTGAAAAGCAATGGAAAAAATATCCTCTGGTGAGAATTAACAAAAAAAGCCACAAAAATAAAAAACAAAATAGCTAAGATTCTTTAGTTTCCTGTTGTTGATACTGTGATCGGTTATGCTATTGATAAATACCTGCATTTAGCCAGTCCAAAGGCTGAGCTATTTAATATGTTGATAAAATATGATAATTATTAAAACAGATAAGGAATATTTAATCTTAACAAAGAATATTTGAGATCTTAAATTAGATAACTTTCAAATAGCAGGACACAATGGGAAGTGCTTTAAATAGTTTGTATACATTATTAAGAAATAATAGGAAGCTGCATTCATTTTCTAGGGCCACCATATAAAGTACCCACAGACTGGGAGGTTCAAACAACAGAAGTTCGTTTTCTCACACTTATGAAGGCTGGGAGTTTGAGATCAAGGTGTGCAGAAAGTTGACTTCTTCTGATGCCTCTCTCCTTGGCTTGTACATGGCCATCTTCACATGGTCTTCCCTTGTGTGACTATGTCCTAATTTCTTCTTCTTATAAGGATACCATTCATATTGGAGAAGGCCCCACCCTAACGATCTCATTTTAACTTAATTGGTTCTTTAAGACTCTATCTCCAAATACAGTTACATTCGGAGGTACTGGGGGGTTAGGACTACAATATATAAATTTTGGGAGGACATAATTCAGCCCTAACAGCATCTATCAATACAATAAGTTTTTGCAGCTGCATTTTTAAATTGTGCTTTCTTTGTCAATTATTAAAATAAGGCTTGTCTCTGAAATTAGGACATATGATAATTAGTAAAACATTTTAGGCTAATAATTTGGTGTTACAGTTGTCTGGGCAGCTGTTTTAGAATTTATGCCATAGTTTGTTCTAGGTTTTCAATAAAAACTCATCTCAAAACATCAGCCTATTTTCAGGAATTGAAAACTGCATAAAATGTTCCCTAATGTAAAAACTGGGAAGGTAGAGGTTAAAAGCTTTAATTCCATTGTCAATAAAATAATTGTGATTGGAATCTTTGTTCTGGCAAATTAGAGTAACCCCAAAATTCTCCTGCTATAAACACCTAGATACGCTAGGTTAAAAACAATAAGAGCAACATAGTAAATAAATGCATAGCTGAGAGATACAATAATCTGGACAGAAATTTAAGCCCATGCTAAGACTATCCAGATAGTGGTGGGTCCAAGCAGAATGTTGTTTTCCACTACTTCAGGGACTTGAATTAAAAAAATGATTCTTTACAGAGATGAAGAGAGAGGGATAGAGTTACAAACACCAATGAGAGAGAAACATCTATCAGCTTCCTGCACACCCCCTACTGGGGATGTGCCCACAATCAAGGTACATGCCCTTGACAGGTATCAAATCTTAAATCTTTCAGTCTGCAGGCTGATGCTCTATCCACTGAGCCAAACTGGATAGGGCATTAGGGACTTGAATTTTAAGGCTCATGAAGAGACAGAATTATTGGCATGGGAAAACGCTTCAGAAACAATTGGTTAAACTGTAAAGTGGTTGCACCTGGCTATAAAGCAAGTTGGGTTCCTGGGCTGAAGAAAC